ATTTTATTTGGATTCGCGAGACCAAACGAGCAGGAGTGCTCAATAACAGGGTAGCGAATGGTTGAGTTGTGCTATGTGACAATGTAGTGTGTGCGTGGGGTGGTGGTGGTGGGGGGGGGGGGGGGGGGGGGGGGGGAAGCTGCGGAGGCCCAATACAATGTAAGGGGATGGGAGGAGAGAAGGCCAGCGGAGAGTCAAATTCATGTCCAGCGTTTCTACACACTCTTATGACCCATGGACGAAATTTTCAAGCGGACGAACTCCTTTTCTTTGGAGTTGGACGAAATTATTGACCGACGAAATGTTCTGCCTCTACAGTAGCTGAAGTACATGGTTACTGAGCGAATTCAAATAAATCTTCTTCTTCTTCTTCTTCTTCTTCTACGGACACAACCACACCCCAACTGTACTGGGGGCCTATCTCTTCGAATTGCATTATATGAGTTTCTTTTTCCTTTTTTCTTTACCCGTTACTGTCTAAAAAGCAGTCGAAACGGTTTTTATCCACCATTTGATGGTGAGCATTTCCCTTCACATTCTGCCTCATTAACTGGCCGACGCACATCTGTCAGCCAGAAAAGCTGGCGCACATCTGCCAGCTAGATACATATTCGACGGACGCCCAACTGTCGGTCGAAGTCGACGCACATCAGTCGCCTACACTGGCGCTCATCTGCCAGTGTTACTATCGATGCCTCTCGGCATCTCCTCGTAGCAGTTTTGCTACACATCCGGTCTAGCGGGCTGATACCCCTCTAGACTGTATTTTCTCATCACAAGTACTTTCAGCAGAGATGCTGGCCGGAGGGGGCGAAAGCGGCCGGAGGATGACCCCTCACTGGGCTGCACACCAAGCCCAGAACCTGTAACTGTTTCAACAACCCGGGAGGAGTGTGAGTCTGGTAATGACGCGTCACGGCCGATACCCGCTCACACTTCCCCTAGCTCGCAGCCAGCTGCAGGGGTGTGCGATAGGTGCGGAAGCACCATTCGCCACCGATTCAATTTAAGCCGTCACTATCAGACGAAGAAATGTTTAGCTGCATGGAAAGGGGCTGCGCCTGCAGCACAGCACAAGCACACGAAAGCAAAAGCATGTACGCGTACTTCGAGTACAACCAACACAAAGCCATGTCTACATTGTGCAAAACCTATATCTAGTTCAAACATGGCTCGACATCTGAAATCTTGCCGGGCTTTTCAGGCCAAGGTCGTCGATGAACCGCTCACTCCAACCAGGAGTAGTAAGACGGTCGTTGCCATTGCAATCAGCCCGCAATCCCAGCACAGTGCTGATGGCGACGAAGAAGAGAAGTTGGAGCATGGCTCCCAGAATGTGCTAGACCACAAAAGCCCAGAGCAGGACAGTAGCAAGCTCAATCTTCCCAAGTCAAGCCCGGCCTGGGAAAAAACAAACACACAACTAGAACAACATATCACACGCCTGTTTCCATTGTCAAAAATACGAAAAAACGATCCAGACGATTCACTTGATCAGATTACCTCGTTCCTCAGATTCTTCTTCCTCGACCACACCATCTCAGAACCCACCCCAGAGCGAAGGTCGAAGAAGCCATGTCAGTCCAAATGCCTAACTGAGCTCTACATCAAACGCCGTGCACTGCGTAAGCAATATCGAAGGAGAGATAGGCTTGCCATCCATGAGGTTGAGACCATCAGATCAGACTACAACCGTGTGCAAAAAGACATCAAGAAACTGAGAAAGATCATCCAAATACAAGAGCAAGACCGTGAAGCGCAGAAACAGCGGACGGCCTTTCTTAAGGACCCTTACGGGTTTGCAAAACGCATGTCCCAAAGCAGATCACGTGTAACACCAACTTTCTCGGAACAGGCCTGCTTTGAGTATTTCTCCAAACTTTATGAAGATCCCTCTCGTGAGCAAATTTTCTCGGATCCAGATTTCTGTCCAGCTACGAGTAAACCGTCCACACCACTATCTGATAACAGCCCCAGTTGGAAAGCCTTCCAGAACACTCTGAAAAAATGTAGAAACAAATCTGCAGCCGGTCCAAACGGTATTCCATACATAGTGTGGAAAAAGTGCAAATGTCTGCACGGCATTCTTTTCAATATCTTCGAGAAAGTCTGGAAGACAGGATCCATTCCGCTGTCTTGGCAGTGCGCCTCAGTAACGCTTCTCGCAAAAAGTGACAATGACTCTGACCCGGCGAAATTTCGCCCAATTGCCCTATCCAACTGTGACGGCAAGATTTTCTTCGCCATGTTGTCAAAAGTTCTGACTCGCCACATGCTGACGAATGGGTATTTTGACGGCATGACCCAGAAAGGCTTCTTGCCGGGTATGTCCGGTTGTATTGAACACGCCACTCTTTGTCACGAGGCCATGAAAGACGCCAAACGCCACAAGCGTTCGATTGCCATGGTATGGATCGATTTGAAGAACGCCTTTGGCTCAGTAAAACACAATCTGATCCAGAGGGCACTGCAACGCTACCACATCCCGCTGAAAATCAGGAACCTTGTTTACTCTTACTATGAGCGTCTGACAGCATTCATTAAAAGACCACTCACTCAGACCTTCCGGTACAGCATCGGCGTATTTCAAGGTTGCCCACTTTCCCCTATTCTCTTCAACATCTGTTTCCAAATTCTACTTGATTCTCTTCAGACCAAACCGATCCAAGCCCTTTCGTACAGTTTCCGTGACACAACTGTCACTGCTTCGAACACTGGATTCGCCGACGATTTAGCAGTCTTCAGCAATCGAACTCATGGTGCGCAGAAGAAGTTAGATCTGGTTGATAGTTTCCTTGCCTGGTCAAAAATGCAGGCGGCCCCTCACAAATGCAGGTCGTACGCAGCCAAATTGACCAACAACAAATACACCTGCTTTGACCCCGCACTCAGAATATCGGAAACTCCAATACCAGCTCTAAACGGCCAACAATTCAAGTTTCTAGGCAGGATGCTAACAGATACAGTAGGTGAGATAACGCAACGCGAAGACCTCATAAACTCCACAAGATGCCTACTAAAGACAGTTGCCGAGACCAGACTGTACGGACACCAGAAGTTGTGGCTCTACCAGCATCAAATCATCCCCAAAATAGCATGGCAGCTCGAGATACTTGATCTCAGCCACAGTTTCGCCAAACTCCTACACAGAATTTGCCTTCCATTCTTAAAGAAATGGGCAGGCTTGCCCAGACCCGCAGCACCAGCAATACTCTTCATCGGCGCTCGGGAGCGCTTCGGCCTACGTTTAACGTACATCCCTACGCTATGGAAGCAACGACAGGTCATTAGATGGAATATCATCAAGAACAGCAGCGACAAGAACATGGCAAACCTGTACCAACATCACAGCAAACAACAGTATCTGCTCACAAGACAATACTCCGCAATAAAAGAAATGGAATGTGCCGAGGCAGCGACCTCTGAAGCTAGTCCAACTAATCTCCAGCAAGGCAGGGCAGGACTCGGCTTTAGGCATGACAAACAAGAGAAAATCAAACCTAGAAAACAAATACTCAATACCATTCATGAAGGTGACTGCCAAGACCAGCTATCCCACCTCAAAAGCCTGCAAATGCAAGGCAGCTGGTTAAAGTGGAGAGACACGATGTTTGAAGACCTCACTTGGAAAAAACTGTTGTACGAAGGCTACGGGAGGACTTTCTCCTTTCAACTAAACTGTGTATTAAACACACTACCAACAGTTGACAATCTGAGGAGGTGGGGTAACTCTGTGGTCGAACAACAATGCCCTCTATGCAACAGGCAAGCTACGCTCCGTCACATATTATCAGCATGTCCAACAGCCCTCCACCAGGGCAGATATACCTGGCGCCACGACAACGTACTGAAATGCATAGTAAAACTAGTAAACGAAACCATCCACACTTATCAAAAGGCCACGGCATCAGCAGAAACGCAGAGTAAACAGAAGAGAATTGATTACATAACTTTCTGCAAGGCAGGAGAGAATCTCCCCAAACAGCCCCCCTCCCAACGCAAACGGCTAAATGACCAATTCGTAACTAGCTCAGCGGACTGGCAGGTCCTGGTGGACATGAAGGATGAGAAACTTGTTTTCCCCCACTTCATAGCACCTACAACCTGTCGTCCAGACATAGTGCTCTTCTCCAAAGAATTGAGAAGAGTTCTGTGGCTGGAACTCATGGTATGTAGTGAAGATCGCTTTGCACAATCGCGCGAAATCAAAATCGAACGCTATCGTCACCTTCATAGCGCGTGTGTAAGGAATGGCTGGGATACGGAAAGTCACACAGCAGAGGTGGGAGCGAGAGGCGCCATATCCACCAGCTTGGATTCCTTCGCGAGATCCTTGCGCTGCACTAAGGAACAGCGCAGGCTCTTGCGGAGGAATTGTCGCCAAGCAGCGCTGAACTCAAGCTATGTCCTATGGCTAAGGCGAAGGGAGCGAACATGGCGCGACTGGCCGTTGTATTAAAACTGTTTGGTGAACCTGTTGTAGAGCACTTGGTGGGCGATCGGCCACCCAGCGAGGATAGTTGGACGTCCTTAAAATCAAGATTTGAACTCGCCATTCCGGCCTCTAAAGGGCCGGGGGTGGACGATCGCCAACCTTGCCAACCTCTCGTAGTCACTTGTTCTTGTCGAATCGTTATTTTCATAGCCTACTCGACATTCGCCCTACAAATTACCATACATCACAACGCAACTACCTGTACATGACACACCATACCATACGGACACAACCACACCCCAACTGTACTGGGGGCCTATCTCTTCGAATTGCATTATATGAGTTTCTTTTTCCTTTTTTCTTTACCCGTTACTGTCTAAAAAGCAGTCGAAACGGTTTTTATCCACCATTTGATGGTGAGCATTTCCCTTCTTCTTCTTCTTCTTCTTCTTCTTCTTCTTCTTCTTCTTCTTCTTCTTCTTCTTCTTCTTCTTCTTCTTCTTCTTCTTCTTCTTCTTCTTCTTCTTCTTCTTCTTCTTCTTCTTCTTCTTCTTCTTCTTCGTAGTTGACGGTGATAAAAGCAAGGTTTACTTTCGTAAGTTTTGTGTCGGCTGTGTGAATTTGTGTGCGCATGTATGCATGTGTTTACACGTGTGTTTAGAGTCAGACTATCATCTCAGGACCTGGGCACCGTATAGTAGTTTGGGATTGCTTGGAAACATTCAGCCGGCCCCGTATTTTGCCAAAAGTATTGAAATCGATGGGAATCTAATCAGAAATCGTTCTGACTCTGGAAATTACTGTATGTCCAATTTTGTCAATTCACACCGTACCATCATGGGCACTTCACCCAAAATCTTCATAAAAAACGTTTGTAACTGCACATCATGGAGAATACTGAATGCTTCTTATGTGAAGCAATGAATAATAATCATGTGCATGCTCATATCACAATCATAGCAACAACTAACGAGTTCCTGAACGTTTTCTTGTCACAATTATCAAAGTCTATTTGTAGTAAGATCACTGCCAACTTTGACCATCTGTGCCAATGCACCAATGTACGTATAATGGACTGGAACAGTGCTGATGGAAGACTGAGAAGTTATAATTAAGGCTGTGTGTGTGTATGTGTATGTGTATGTGTGTGTGTGTGTGTGTGTGTGTGTATGTGTGTATGTGTGTGTGTGTGTGTGTGTGTGTGTGTGTGTGTGTGTGTGTGTGTGAGTGTGTGTGTTTGCATTTGTGTGTTTGTGTGCATGTGTGTTTGTGTATTTGTGTGTTTGTCTCATTATTTCCAGTTGCAAGCAAAGTCATCCTAAGTAAGTTTAGTGTTGGGTGTTCATTTTAAAGCAATCAGTGACAGTTGCTGTGTACAGCAATTTAGCATGTTGTGATGTTATGCCAAAGCTCATTTCCTAATTGTAATGCATTGTTATTGGTAGCCATGGATTGAGTAAAATGTGCACACACAACAGCCAAGACGTGGCATTATTTACAACTAATTTATTCCCTAGCACATTCACGGGCTTCTCATCAGAGTAAATACGCGCCAGTCAATAATATTGGATAACAATGATTAATGTGGGTTTGTGGGTGGGTGAACAAGGCCACGTTTACCTGATAGTGTCTAAGTCTTTTCAAATCAGGCTTGGCTGCTTGAGGTGTATTGTTGTTGTACCTGCCACCTTTGTTGGTTTCAAGATCCATAATTTCAAAGTCTACATACTTCCTCCATACCGCAGTGACGCGCATATAAGCACGTGTGCCTATGCCCGGGCATATGCGCACCCTCACAAATAAGCGCATAGGCTTATAAGTGAACCTAAATGCAATTCCATCCGCGACACACAGACACCACAAAACACCATATTCACATAGCTCAATGGGCATTGCGGCAGTGCACTATGTGCATAATTTTGCAAGGTACCGGTACGCTAGCAACTCAAGTGCATGCGCCTATTTGTGAGACAAAACGACCCGCAAAAATAGCAAATAACGCAAAAACTCGCTCATAAGCGCATGTGCCTTTATGTGCGTCACCACGGTCAACAAAAAAACTTTGTGTTGGATTTTGATGGAAATGAAAACGCTTTGAACATGTTGAGAACAGTGTAGATGAACCGGAGATCACTCAATAAAGGTAGTTTAGCATTCGCCAGCGCCTATAAAAGAGGAACTGTTGGCGGCATGAGCAGAGAGTTCGCTTTGTGTCGTCTTTGCACAACTCATCTTTACGCTGAGTTGATGTCGTCGTCTGCTGCACTCGAGTCATCATCTTTCAAGTCGTTTTTCTTTCCAGCTCTTTCAGCCTTTTCTCGGCTTCCTTAATTACACTCCGCTGAACTTTGGTGTTGTTGATACCGTTGGCTTTCAAGCGAGGAGGCCAAGATGGCAGACGGCCAAATACAATGCCCTCCTAACTGGGACCCGTGTAGGATGTGCGTACAAAGTGACCTAAAAAGACGGCGCAGCAGCATTTAAGATGCATGTGCGTACAACATGTGTTTTGATAACCTGGTTCAGAAGAAGTTGTGCAAGTGTGGAACTTGGACTCATCCTGCCACACGTCAACCGCAACTGATTGGTTATGTCAATACGAGTGCAACAGGACCAGTACAGATACTGCCAGGATATCTCTGTCGTGCGTGGTGCATTATTCTGGTCTGATCACTAGATGGTCCATGCGAAGTTGGCTCTGAGTAACGGTGCTCTACCCGCAATGGGCGTACAAGTGGCAACGGCAACAGGAAACGTTTGGTGTGAGAAATCTGTGGAGCACTGATGTTTGTACAGCTTTCCAGGATAGTTTCCAGGAACGTTTGGCCAGGGATTGTGCAGTGCCCAAGGAGTCGGTTGAGTCTATAGATCTGGAGTGGTCTGGCATCAGTGAGTATTACGTCTGCGACCTCTGATACCATAGGTTTGGGTGAGCATGTTCAATCGGACTATACCAAGATTACCTGCCATCAAGCACTGGCATCAAATGATGCAGCTGATACTCAGAAGGCCTTTAGTCAGGCATAGCGTGCTGTGGCAAAGGCTGAGCTGATGGCGAAGGAGAAATTGAGATCAAAGATACAGTGCTATGCTGAGGAGGCTATGAAGGATGGGGAAACTCGCTGGAAGTACATCTACAACCTACAGGGAGTACACACAAAGACAGAACTTTGAAGCGTACTTCTGCTGTGCTGGGTGAGCACGGTAACTTTATTCAGGATACGGTCGCTATTCATGCTCCCTTTGGACTACACATTGAGATGGCATTGAATACGCAGAGCCAATTTGACCAACACACTGTTGACAGCATGCCTATATCGAATGTTGCTGATCACCTTTATGATGTCACTAGCATTGAGGAGCCCCAATAGGCTCTTAGCCGATGAATAATGGCAGAGCCGGTGGTCAATTGGGGGTTCTGCCAGAGCTGATTCGATGTGGAGGTGAACATGTGTTGGGTTGCCTCCAAGAGGTCATTGTCAGGGTTTGGGAAATTGGATCGGTTCCCGCTGACTGGCGCAGTGTGAAGTCTGTCCCGATCCTCAAGAATGGTAAGCGACATTGTCGTCGTTGTCATCGCATCGACAAGAGTTTTTTGTCTTCTATAAGGTTTTATTATTGCTATTGATGTAGCTCTGAGCTACTGATTAGAGCAGGAAAAAACTGGTCTCTACTCTAAGAAGAGACATGAATAAGACTAGCGAAAAGCTGCTTGTAGAGCAACACAATATAAAGTCGACTTCTTGCTGGGAATGGCGCTACATTCGGATCACTGGATCCAGACCAGGCTCACGCGATTCCTCAGGTATCAGCACCGAGGCAGAAATAGGCATGCGTGTGCAGCCAGAAACCGACATGTGTACATAAAGGAGAGCAAGGGAAGCGAATCGCGAGCTGTAGCAGCCAGAAACGGATACATGCGCAGAAGGGGAGCACACCGCGACATGCACGGCAGCAAGAAATTGGTACATGCATACAACGGAGAGCAAGGGGAGAACACTGCGACATGCACGGCAGCCAGAAACGGGTACATGCATACAACGGAGAGCAAGTAGAGCACACTGCTAGCTGCAGGACAGCCAGAAATGGCTGGGTGCATACAAAAGGGAGTCGCTTGGTGCCAAAAAGGGGCACATAAATGATCATGACTGCTGTTCGTGACAGACATAGCTGCAATAACTGGCGTGGTATCAGCGTGCTAGATGTTGTGGGTAAACTGTTTACTCGCGTGCTCCAGGACAGGCTTGAGCCGCTCGTAGAGTATTGGCTACCGGAGTCTCAGTGTTGGTTTCCAAAGGGCATGAGCAGAGCTGCCACTTTTGGAGGGAGAAAAATCTGTCGGGGTGTCCCCCGGTGAATTTTTTTAGGAAAATGGCTTGCTGTTGGGGCCCCAGAACACATTTTTAACTGTCCAGACACATGCAAGCACGCGTGTATTTTACAGCTACATGTACATGTACATGTACAATGACCGGCCAAACGCGACCTGAAAGCGCCGAATGGCTAACTGGACTAAAAAGCGCTCAAAATAAAATAATCGGTTGTCCCTCTTTGGGAACAAAATCGAACGGTTTGTCCGACAGGCGATCAAAAGTCGGACGATTTCCGAAAAATCGGAGCAAGTGGCAGCCCTGCATGAGTGATATTGATATGCTGAACGCCAAGTACTTGAGAAAGCCATCAAGCACCACTCTGATCTGTATGTTTTATTTGTGGATCTACTGTAAGTCTACAAATTTTTGGCCCATTCAAATGTTCGGCCTCCCAGGGCTAATACTCATTTCGGCCGCATCAAATGTTCGGCCTGTACTGCTGCCGCGTGTATACACTGTCACACTGAACCTTGCAAAACCAAATCTTGACCGCAACAAATTTAGGCAAACGTGTCCAGTATGCGAGACATACGACTTGGTCCCTGGAATAGCGCTGTGGCGGATTCTGCAGAGACTTGGTGTGCCTCCGCGCATGCTTTGCAAGATCCAGTCTCTCCACGAGGGTACGATGTTCGCGTGGCCAGTGTGGAGCCTAACAGCTTCGAGGTAGAAAATGGTCTAGAACAGGATTGAACCCCCCCGCGGCTCCGGTGCTACTTCATCTGTACTTCTCCGCCGTTCTTACTCACTGATCATCAACAATAACAGTTTGTTGTTTCCCGATGAAACATCGCACTGGCCGCAAGATGGCCGGCAACCGTCCTGCCAAGCATGGACTTGCGGACCTATCCATATCGGAGCCACTATTTGCTGATAATGCTGCCCTGTACACAGTGTCGTACAGGCACATGGAGACAATGGTGCAAGAGTTTACGCAGTTTGACTTTCGAAATGGGGCCTGACTGTGAGTGTGCAGAAGACAAAGTTCAGGTCGGTCCGAATGTCATACGTGCCAATATTGCGGTGCCTGGGAGTGCTGGTGACAAGTTCGGCATGGTCAACAATTTTACCTACCTCGGCAATACGGTCAGCAACGATGGAGAGCTGGATACCGAAATCACAGGTCGTCCTTAACATTTTGAGCACGCGTGACATTCTGACACGTCATGACCACTGCCACTGTGACACGCGTCACGAGTCAGTGCGGAACTACATCGATACCTCGTTTCTTCCGTGGCTTGGCGTCGGGCTGTACCGCTGCACAGCGGACTCCTAGGATGTACGAGTACATTTGAACTGGAGTTACATGCGCGTGCATACATTTCAAAATACCAATTTCGCGTAAAACTACCTTTATGAAAACGGTCATAACTTTTGTAATCTTTGTTGTATTCCCAAAAAAAACAGTTCTGTGCTCAGGATACATGAAAGAATCGTTTGAAATCAAGTTTGCTCACATAGAGTGAATTTCAGGGCTCACGGTTGGGATGCCAAAACTCGATTACGTGGGAGGACATCTTGAAATCTGATCACCATAGAAATGAGCTCGCGTGACTCGAGCTATATGCACACGGCAGTGCACGCCTACTGCGCGGAGCACAGCAAGGACTCGAGAGAGTTGCAGTGACTGACAAGAAGAAGTAGAACTGAGGAAGACGGAGACCGGCTGGGGACTTCACTTTGGTTGCCGTTCACTGTCGTTGTTATTGCTTCTTTCCGAGCGAGTGTGTTGCGTGCAGTGCTGGCCTCTTAAGCCGAAGGCTTCAGACAGTTCGTTTGCACGCTGAGTCCTGCGATGAGAAGTCGCGAGTTCTGCCGCCGAGTCTTTGCTGAGAAAGGGATCGACATCTATGTCGTCCGCTGATGCACTGGCGCAGGTGAGGAGAGGAAGAGGTCAAGAGCTCCTTGATGGAATGAAGCAAAAACTCACACCGTGTTCTAGTTCGTTATCTCTGTTCTCAGAGTGTTTTGTAAATGCACGTACAGGAGTGAAAGAGCCGTGCCACGCTGCTGTGAGAAGTGACGATGGAGAGTTGTGAATTATTTGATTTGCCACTCTGTTTCATTGCAAGAGGACGAATCAAATGGCTTCGCCGTTGTACTGGTCATGTATTTTCGGTTCGCCATAGCTGCTGAAGCACACAGCAGTAGAGCGTCGATGAGCGAGACAGCAAACGGTGAATAATATTTCAAGAGTTTGTCAGTCACGGAGGAAACATTGCAAAAAACGCCTTGCTGCTGCCTCGCTGGTGTGGTTTCCGCATCTACAGCGCATATGCACATGCTTCCTTCCTTGTCGTCGTGCACGGAAGTTCGCGTGCGCCTCTGCCGACTTAGCTCACTTCAAAACAGTATAAGGTAGCACAAGTTTGGCCGATTTTGACAATCGATGGCTCAAAATCTTCAGTAGATGCTAAGCTACATTTTAACCGAAGAGATTTTTTTCTAAATGAAGGGATTGCTGTAGAGCATTCACGGACTTTGTGACAATATCATTAGTTTCCCGGGGCCAAAATCAAAAGTTCCTTCGGTTGAACCCCTAATTCACATCTTGCCTGGTTCCACCCAAATTTTCAGTGGTGTCCTGTTTACCCATGCTACCTTACTCTATTTTGAAGAGGCATGTGGCGCACTGAAAATGCGCTGCGAGATGGCTAGAGTTTGTGTACATGGAGTCGTCGAGCTGTAGTCGCGTGACAGTCGACCTGTCGTCGCGTGAGCTGGCCAGAAACAAAATGGCGCCCACGTATTTGTACACAACCTTGAGCCCTGAATTTAAAATTTTTACTGCGTGGCAGAGGTTTTCAATGGGCCCGGGCTCAAAAGGTTAAGAAGCATCGAGGGCTTTTGGTAACCTCCTCTAACCAATTCATTCCGGAACTTGGATCAATCACTCGGAATACGACGTCATCTCTACCAGGCAGTAGTATTTATAGTGCTTCTGTATGGCTCTTAGACCTGGACGCTCAATGCACCATCGTGGATTGGACATTTTCCATCGGTAGTGGATTCGCGTGATTCTAAGCGCAACTCAGGATCAACAATGGCATGAAGCATGCCCGCTTCGTTGGAGGAGTCCATCCATGTACATCACCTGCGTTGGCTTGATCACGTCTCAAGGACGCATGACTCCAGGTTGCCAGCACATCTCCTGTTTCCAGAGGGGGCAAACACATGGCCTCGCCAGGGACCCAATTGTCTTTGGAGGGATGTGGTAGCTTTAGACCTGCGAGCAACCGGAATGTCGGTGATGCAATCGTGCCACCTTGTTCAAGACCGGAGGGAGTGTTGTGAGCTTAGCTGTGAGAGGCCACCAAGCCAGCAGCAACCAAGAGTGTTCGTCTGTATCTTCGGCCGCGGCTTTCATTGTCAGAAATGTAGTGTTGTCAATTTAATTGGACGCACTGTTGCTCTCCTCGCCACTCCACACCACAACAAAAAGACTCGTGCAAACTGGGAGAGAGCGTTTTCTCTAACTTGATTTCACAAGGCGACTGGAGAACTGCGCTCCAACAAAACGGACAAGAGAATATATTATGGAGACGTGGAGAAAAGAGGGGAAAAAGTGGGGTGCGGGATACGAAAGAGGTGCCTGTGCAAAGTACAACAAGGCCTGAACAGGACGGGAGACAAAGACGAATGATGGGGAAATACGACGGACACAAGACGGCAACCAGACAAATACAACGGAGACAAGACGAGAAAATGTGTATGCAACGGGGATGAGATGAGAAATAATGCATACGGAGGGGCCAGAAGACGGTGCAGCGGCATGTACAAAGCATTCCAAGACAGCGCAGCGGCGTGTACCACGGGTCAGCAGCATGTACGACACAGAGACACATACACAGCCACGTGTACGACAAAAGAGACACAAGCGCAGCCACATGTACGACAAAGAGACACCCGCACAGCCGCATGTACGACACAGAGCTACAAGCGCGACCACATGTACAACAGTAGTATTATTCTCAATATGGACAAGGAGACATGGACGAGTCAACTAATGAGGAGCAAGAAATGCACAACCAGTAGGTAAGTGAAGAACAAGAGAAGTCCCGAGCCAGTGAAGCACATCAAAGTTCTGGCCTACGGGGAACGGCCTGTGTGACGTACATACAGCATGCAACGCATACAGTCATAAGTGTACAGTAATGTACGCATAACAGAGTCCAGATATTACGACAAGGAAGACTTATCTCGACACAATAATCACTGTCTGGCCTACTAGCTATCATCGATCATTGCCTTCCAAAGGTCCAAAGGTGTGTGTGTGTGTGTGGGGGGGGGGGGGTGAGTGTGTGTGTGTGCATGTGCATGTGCATGTGTTTGTGTGTGCATGTGCATGTGTTTGTGTGTGCGTGTGTGTGTGTGTGTGTGTGTGTGTGTGTGTGTGTGTGTATGCACGCGCGAGCACAAGTTGCTATGTCTAACACGTCAGGCGAAATTACTGGTCAGTCGGCGACACGCATTTTTTCCCAAAAAATAGCGTTTCACCTGCTGGGAGAGTATGCGTGTACTCGAGTCTCATCCTGAGCACGTTTTTTTCTTCTTTTTTTTAGCTCCAGTAAAGCTGTATTTTTCATTGCAAAGCCGTCCTCGATTGTTGTGTTCGTTGTTCAAACGAAGTGGACATTCAATCATGAAGGCAGAGGACATAGGAGCCTGATGGGAGTTTCTCGTGGCATAGGACGGCCACACAGAGACACTTTGGGATTTTCTGAATAATACCGTACGCACGATGCTGAGATCAATTTGTGCGATATCAAATTGTTTGTGATCTACCACATCGAGCAGAACGGGATCCAAACACAAGCTTACCGACGGTTAGGCTGCCGACCTGACTTCGTCGTGAAAAGACTTGAAATATTCCATTTAATATTCAACCGAGATTCGTGGTCTCACGCTTTCTCAGATCGAATCATTTTTTGTTGTAGCAGTTGCAGGGCAGATCCCCGCCACTACTTCAACAGAGTTTGGCTCCAAAGCATGCCTGGAACAAGCCATATCGAGGTTGCAATCCACCCCTCTCAGCAAGAAATTCGAAATTTCAATGGTGGAAGATCTACTAAGAAGAGAATTTCAAAAAGTATGTTTCGCGGAGCGATTGCTCAACCTACGTCATTCAAACTTTGCAGGATGGTTCAGACGTACATGCTAGGCATGGAACCACAGGGGGTGATGTCAAAGCTGACATACAGAGTCACACACACAGCAGATTTGTGTGCACAGATACTAAATTAGTGGACATCTTCATCTTCTTCCCGCTGATCTCAAATGTACTATGACGTGCTATTTCGCCTGACGATAGCTGTTCGCTATCAACGCTTCCGCAGTGGGCAAGTCTGAGGTCTGAGTTGTTCGTGCGCGTGCGCACGTGTGTGTGTGTGTGTGTGTGTGTGTGTGTGTGTTTGTGTACTTCTGGCTAGATTAACTATTGTGTAATCAATGGTAATAGGGAGCCTATAATCAGTTAAACTGTGCACCCATATTAGTAGCAAGTATTACCTTTACTGGCGGCAGGGGAATATGCAGTTGGATCCCGGGATGGATACCCCGATGCCATCAATCCTTTTTCTGCACCTAGTCCTCACCCACTCACTGAGGTGTGGTGAGCCCATCTGTGGGATCATTTCCAAGCCCACCCAGAGTTTGGGGATTTCAGGGGTTGACGGTTGTTTAGCTTTTCAATAATCAATTGTGTCATCTTTCCCATATTCCTTTTTGTTTCTTTCTCCCCTCTCCCGGGAGACCAACGTGACCAGTTTTGGCAGTGAGCAAGTACAGATACAAATGTGTGTGTGTGTGCTTGTGCGTGTGAGTCTGCACGTGTGTGTGTCCATTTGTGCTTGTGTACGTACTTGTGGGCATGCATGTACGTGTTTGCATGTGATTGTAACAGGAAATCCCGAGTTTGAGTTCAAAGTGCTCCTTAATAGGACATTCTACACCATGACTATTGACTACACCGCCGCAGGTTCCACTGATACTTCAATCTACCGTAGCTGTTCAAATATAAGGCATCTATCTACTTCAACGTTTGAACTGGGCAACGCCACACATAGTGTTCGGCTTACTTATCGCGAAATGGCTTATGTTCAAAAAGTAGGAAAAAGTAATTGGTGCAAGCTGAGAATACGCAATGCAGCAGTGCAAACAATAATGAATAATGGACTTTGCACCAGTTTAGAAAATTGCCGTCTAACGAGTAGTACCAACCGAACATTTCAATATCAAATTTTCTTTAAAGAAAATGAAACCTCTGGATTTGATAGCGCATGGTTGACGAAATCAATGTCAATGGTTGATATCCGGCCTATAACATTGGAACTGGATGAAACAGCAAAAGGTGAGATATTATTGCACTTTCTGTTCCTTCTAAGGACAATTGACCGAAAGGCGGTTGTTTTACAGTGCTGTAATTTTCACCCCTGTCAAATTTCTGCCTTTGAGGTGACTTCAGCGTATATGCTGAAATACGGTGTTGAATCAACACATGCGCTGCTGTACTCTTTACGTGTCAGTGCAGAGTGAAAATGCACGCAATCCAGCATGCCCAGTCTGGTCTTCCACGTTTTGTTCATCATACTGCACTTGTCAGCCTTGATTTAATTCCGGCTCCCTGCCGAAAAACCAGTTGGAAAGCTACATACCATGGGGGGGGGGGGGGGGGTCAGCGGCACTTTGCAATGCTATTTCAGTTACGGTCATTATGAAGTGTCACCTACAGCAAGCTTTTGAACATGCTCGTGCTTCTGGGGCAGTTGCTCAGAAACGCCAGAAAGCTCTGTATGATAAGTTCACGAATAAGCCTCGTCTCAGTATTGGTGATCGCGTTAGCCTACATAACCCAGCAGTAAAGACCGGCCTGACGCGAAAGTTTCATCTACCCTGGAAAGGCCCCTTCACCATTGTATCTCAGATCGATGATGTTGTATTTGCCATTGCCGATTCCACGGGCAAAGTCCAGACTGTACACTGTGACCGATTGAAGCTTTACACTGCTACTCCGAATGCTGTGGCTCCATCTGATTTAGTTGTTCCGCCCACGGCTGTACCTACTCAGCCTCAGTATCACGCAGAAGCACACTATGATGTCCAGCTACCTGTTGTACCACAACTGCTACCAGCAGCAGCACACGGGTATGGATTGCGACACAGAGGTAACCTGCAGCTCCCTCAGAGGTATAGGTGAGCTCATGCTATTGACCCATGACACGCCATTTCCTGAACTTATGATGTTCATCGCTACATTGTATTAATATCACCACAGTAAATGTAATCTAGCACAGACACAATTTGCTTCCGTTTTGAAGTGGTCATGCAGTCGATGTAGTCCGAGATAAATAATTATTGCATTCGGAGAGCATTGACTTCCTTATTTATAATCAACCCTACTATTCTCCACATGCACTTATTCTAATCCGACATAGATCGTCATGTTTTTTTGTAGTAGTAAAGTTGTCGTGAGGACGCGACGTTTGCAAAGCCGAGGGATGTGTGGCATTCCAGGATTGTAACTTATGCATAATAGTCCTCTATCCTTGTTGTCTTTCACAAGTTGTAGTTTTACCTAAGTTTACGGTTTCATACAAATCGCCTCTCACAGGTTCAAACCCCAGACTCGGCAACTCATTCCTTTTTCCTTTCACTGTAGACTCTGATGATGTCATGGCACCCATCTTGGATTCTTTATGCCATGTGCAGGCTTTTTGTTCTTTTTGTTGTTCTTTGTTTTCACTTCACTCGGGTGTGGTTTTGGTTGAGAATCATGGTCCCAGAAACTATCATGACAGTGCTGTTCTAGTTGTGATTAGGAAACTATCTGACTTGTACATTGGGAGAATGTTACAGTAGAACAGGACAGAACTTTTCACTTGCAGGCGTGTACACTGAACAAAGTGCATGGACTACATGCCTCTGTTTAGGATTGAACATATCTATTCTTAAGGTGTCTATCATCAAACAACACAATAACACGATTCTACGACCAAAGAAACAAGCTAACGGAGGTGACAGGGACACCAGGACTTACTGTCGGGCGAAAGACACATGTCCACTGGACGGATCGTGTCTAACGAAGAGCATCGTGTATAAGGCAAGAGTCACCGCAGGTATAGGAAAGAAGGAGTATACTGGATTAATAGCAACAACATTCAAACAACGCTACTATATCCACCAATCCTCATTCCGCCACAGACAACACGAGAAGGACACCCACCTATCGCAGTACATCTGGGCCAAGAAGGATGAAGGGAAGGCATGCAGCATTCAATGGGTGGTACACCGCAGAGCAGCGGCCTACAGCAACAAAAGCAAAAGGCGCAAGCTGTGCCTGGCGGAAAAATTGGCAATCGCGCAAGCACCCAAGCACCTCTCTCCCAACAAAAGGAGTGAGTTTCTGTCAAAGTGTCCCCACAAGAATAAGTACTACCTTCGGAACTTCAAACCATCCACAGCCATCACCTAATTAAGTAAGAGACAACCGGCTCAAGTGGTTGTCACCTTTCATCACTGCTGTCATTCACACTTTCACTTTTAGATTTGCCTCATGATGCAGTCACTCACGCTTTGCACTGCCGCCATTTACAACTTTTAGATTTGCGCCCCGCTGCAGCTATTGACACTTTGCTTTGTGAGTATATAAACCCAATACTGATCCAGATTTCTCATTACTGTTTTCTGATGATCGCTTAGAGCGTGAAACTCGGAGTAAAAACACTTTCTCTGTCCTCCAATTGTTTGAAGCAGCTCTCGGTATTGAGCACTCTCTTGGATAGCGTGGAACCTCTCTGTTTTATTCTTAAGGTGACAAGGTGTCAAAAAACCGACGTGCGAGCATTGATGTCATAGTTTCAACTCCAATCCAAAACGAGATAAATAGATTTTTGGAAATTTTGCATCAGTGACTTTTATAGCGTTTTGTAGAAGAACACAAACTTCAGGCATCATTTTGACTGGGATGTATCGCTTTTTGACTGGTAAAACCGGCATACAGACATCCGTGGGGTAAAAACGGATTCTTTCGTGACAAAAAAATAGGGGTGAAACGAAGTAGTCGAAGATTCGAAGGACCTTCGAATTCATTTGAAACGAACCTTCATTTTCGATGCGAACGAAGGTCGACACGGTATGGGTGCTAGTATGTTACATGCATACACTGATCTTGTACGATGTGCTGCACTGCTGTACTGTCGAATGTCGTGTACAAACGCGCTTGCATTCACGGCCGTGTCGATCGGTGTGCTGCATTCAATCATGTACAAGTAGTAGGTGCACGGACATGTCAACAGCGTACTAGCGCATGCACCGGAACTGAAGTGACAAGTAAAAAGTAGATATACTGGCACAGACTACACTCTACAGGAGTAGACCCAGGTGCTCGAAGTCCGTACACTTTTACAGTGTGTGTTTGCCGAGCTGAAACTCACACTAGCAATGATCACTTGCCAGAATCCTGCTCGTGGATGGAAGGTATCTTGTCCAAGTTTGTTCTGAGGCCAGGCTCGATTGAACCAGGCCATCTTTCAATCCGATCCGTTTCTCTGGAGTTCGCTGATTTTTCATTTCAAATTTTGGTGTCGCAGAGGGTCCTCTAAGTCCGTACTGATCAGAGGTGACTCGAAATACACACATATTTCTGCTAATTGCTAACTTGCGATTACTCGGTTACGACGAAAGCACCGAAGGGATATGTTTGGCATGTGCCTCCACCAGTATTTCTTGCAAAAGCGTAGTTTGTCGCCGAAATGCAAGCTGTTTTTAGTCGGCTCAGAGAAGAAGCAGCTGCGTTGTGAAAAACTGCGGGAAAACAGTGGTGGAGATGCCAGGAGTGTCAACCTTTCTGCAAGGATTGGTGGTTCTCTGTAAATTCTTCTCCTCTGGCCATTCTCAACTCTAAGCTGGCTCTTGATGATTGAGTGAAGGTCTGTTTGACGCTGTGTCCGTTCGAAATCGGTCTTGGCAAAGTTGATTTTTGCATGAAATGTAACCCAAATTGTATTTCGTATGGACACTCGAAAACCCACTCGCGTGGTATGGGACTTCTGCTTATCGTAGATCCCTGAAAATTGCTACGCGAGGAGAACATACCACACTGTCCCCTCCATAAAATATTTGAGTCGAATACAATAACAGAACATGACATTATGGGCGTACGAACTTAGGATACCATGTACGGACTTCGAGCACCTGGGTCTACTAGTTCGTGAAGAACTGACATGGCCCTGTTCCAGTGTGTAATGACTGTACTTCGCGGGTGTTGTTTTCTGCCGTGGGAGGACTGACCGCGCGCGCGCGAACTGACCTGTACGAGTACTCAGTCTGGTCTCTTATCGCAGACAAGTAAAGTTCTGTAGTGTAGCTGTAAACATGTAGGCTGTTGCAGTGTTGAGCCGCTTTGTAACATGCTGTCATCGTCAAAACATGAGATCTACTGACTGTAGTACATGACCGTAACTCGATCGTTCCTCGAGGCCTCGACAACAGGGCCTACGGAGTCGGACATAGAGCTACATACGATGTTGCACTGCCGTAGTTTCTTGCCTCGCACGCTCAGTTTGCTTTGCCGCCTTTGAACGAAGATATTAGTTGCTGTTCGAAGCAGTGGTATTTTGTAGTTCGTCAGTAGCTGGTCTGCTTTCGAAGCGTTAGATTTGTGTTCTTGAAGTAGGAAGTTGAAATGGCTCCAGGGAAACGGTCAGAGGTATGGAAGCACTTCCGGGAAATTCCCGGGCAATGCTTTGCACGATTTGCAACGCGGAGTATGCATATCGCGGAGGCACTTCGAATCTGCGCGAGCACCTGCCCGAAGCTCACCCTGAAACGCAGCAATCAATGGATGATGCATCCGGAAAGACCGGCGGTGGTGTAGGACGGACAGCCGCTGGAACACGCCCTATGACATCGTTTGTGGCGACGAGAGTTGTTGGGAAGAAGTGCTCTCCGGCGAAATCGTCGGAAATCAGCGAGCCCGTGGCCGATTGGGTTGCTGAGAATATGTGGCCCGCTTCAATCGCCCACGACAGCGGTTTCCAGCACATCCTGCAATATGTCGAGCCGGACTTCGTTGTTCCTTCAAGGACGCACATCGTCATCCTCCTGAAGAAACGATATGGTCAGTGCCAGAAGGAACTCCAGAAGCTGCTGGAGACTGTGGACTTGGTGGCCGTGACGACAGACGGCGGGACGAGCAAGGCGATACAGTCCTACGTAACGTACACCGTCCATTTCATAAACGCAGACTGGAACCTTGTATCCTGCGTCTTGGAGACTAGTGAATTCCAGGGCAGCCACACAGCGAACCGGCTGGCGGAGCATGCTGTTGCTGCTGTACAGCGAGTGTCAGTG